AAGCTGGAATTCAAGAACTCTGTAAGAAAAGTTCTCAAAAAATTAAGAATATTTCTAAAGTAACACGGTGATGAATTTATGGAGGACATAGAAGCATTTGTAGTTTATAACAAAAAAAAAAAACAAAACCAGAAAACACTCATTTCCTCAGATTAACAGTGCAACCAAAATGAAAACTGACATCTTCAAACTGCAGAGACAAAAAACTTCTTAGAAATGAAGTCACTTTGAAAAAATATTCTGCATGATTAAATGGAATAAAGGCAACCAAGCACAGTAACATGTAAACGATCACACTGAAATACCTCTGAGGACTTCCAACAGCAGCAGCAGCAATACAATTATCCTAATACAGTCCTCTAGGCTACTTAGTTTTTCAGAAGACCTGTCAAGACTACATTTAAATTCAAAACCAGGTATCCTTCTAACAAAGAAATATATTGTCTATATGCTATGTAAGTGTAGGAACATTTTTAAGTAGATGAAATCCAGCCATTTAAGCAGAAAAGCAACAAAGTGAGTATGAAACATACAATGGTCTTGCATACCAATATTAAAAAGTATTCAAGATCACTGCTTTTAGAAATATGCTATTATTTCTCGGCAACCTTTTCTCTGCCAGAGTAGGGAAGGAGAGACTTAAGGCATAGATTTGCTTGTCTCTTAGCATGTAATTAATTAGTTCCTTTGATGAGTTTATGAATTTAAATATTCCCACACCTGTCTTTACGTTCCCTATACACAGAATGAATGAACACTAACATTTTACATAATGAAGTACTCATTGTAGGTTAATTCATTAACTATGCAAAACATTATCCCCATGTAACAGAAGCTTTTTCAAAAGACTGCTTCCCACTAACAAGTTACCATTCACAACGCAATCCAGAAAGAGCAGCTATTGTTCTTTTCCCATTTAGCATAAGGGAAATACTAGATTTCAGAAATTAAAGCATAATGACTGGGAAGGGGAATTCATTATGCTCATAATCTGAGCATCCCATTGACCTCTTTGATTTAACAGGTGGCAGAGATCTTACTGCTCCTTAAGCCTGGCTGTACCAAGCAGATAAGAGTGCTTCCTCCTGTCTTACCTCATGCAACAACCTTAGAAACAAATTAAGTACACACACTGACTTTCCTGACCAGAGAACCAAGAACGTATGTAGAAGGAACTTTAAACCACCCAGCTGAGGGACAGTAGATACAAAACTTCATCCGCATTTGCACCAAACAGATCCCCTACAGGGAACCCCTAAATCTTAGTCAGCTGCCTTCAAGACATAAGCCTGGTCTTAATCCTAATTAACGAAGTGTCTCTAGAACACCTGCCCAGCCATTCAAAGTGTTTGCAAAGTAATTCATTCCAAAGATAATAAACCAAGGCAATCCAGATTGTGACAAGAACCCTAAATGACATGCTTTAATAGGATGCGCAGTCTTCTGCAACGTTATCTGGCATGTTATTAGGCTGTACTTGCATAAACCCAATTCCCAGCATGGAAGCCTGTACAACACAGACAGAATGGCATGTTCCTGACATCACAGCTAGGACATTACGAAACTTTGTGACTGGGCAACAAAACGTCACATGAAATTCAGTACAAATAAATGGAAAAAACCAACCCTAAACTTACACGTGAAATAGGAGGCTCTCAGCGTATCATTACTGTTCAGGAGCAAGATCCTGGAGCTATGGTTCACAGATTCATGAATCTATGTACTCTGTGTTCAGCAACAGTCAAAAAAGCAAATGACAAGTTGTGCATTATTGCATTATTATAAGGAAAGTAATACAAAACAAAATAAAGAGCATCATTAGGTCTCTACAAAAATACATAGATCACCTTTCAAATAGCGTGCACAGCCTACCTCAAACGTACAGAACTGAAAGGGTTCAAAAGGGACAGCAAGGCTGATCAGTGTATGGCACTGTTCCCATAACAGGGACAACGAAGCCAGTTAGAAATCTTCAGTCTGCGAAAGAGACCACTGTGGCAATAACATGAGGAAATGTATAAAATCATGGGTGTAGGTACGATGTTTAGGAGATGTACTGTTAGCCATTTCTTGCAATACAAGAACCAGGTAATATCAGAAGGACACCATCAGTAAGCGCAAAGCTGCTAGAAGTAATTTAGGTATGATTCTTCTTGCCGCAGCATGGTGTACAGTGCTGACGAAGAGAAGGAAGAATTTTATGAATGAGAAGCCCACTAAGGATAATTAACGATGCCTAAAAACAGCGAAACCTTATCAGGCTCTGGAAGTTCCTCAGCTAATAACAGTTGGAGCCCAAAAGCCTAAAGGGAAGTAGCACATGTGTTCATGATTGTCCCTATATTCTCCCACGGGCATCTGCTCTTAGCCGCTATCACAGCCAGGATATTGGACTAGATGGTCATTGATCTGATCCTGCACAGCCACTCATGCGGGTTTGCTTCCTTTAATCTAGAAGAACATCTAACATTTTTCCTTACGAGACAGTATACCATCAACGCACAAGAATGAGATCAGCAATTTTGATGGATAACTTAGTTTACTTTCCAATTGGATAAGTATATCATCAGAAACATCTGTAATTTATCCTTTCTGTACTATGTCCTTATTACGAACAGCGTAAGAGGAAACAATTTCAGCAGCAAATGAAAACAGATCAAAGTAACAGATGCCCTGCTAAGGGCATTATTTTTAAAAGACAGAAGTATTTTGATCATCATTGTAAATCTGGTCTTCAAAAGAAAAAGGTACCATAGCTACCATATGATTAAAAGTCATGTCATAGTTGCCATCGATTTTTCTAGCTCTTTACTGTTCTTCACATCAGGATCCTACCTGCCTCTTTAGAAAGTACAGTATTTGTAAAGTTAAAAGCAATATAAAAAAATTAAAGTAGCAAGTAAAAACGTCAATGTACTTAGCATCTCTGATAATACTTTCAAAGCACGCGCAGTACATAGCACCCAAAGATATTAAAGTCCTAAAGAAACAGTAACTGATTCTGCTCCTTTATCATCACTGAACGAGGAAAGGTTGAATTGCTTCCAGGCTTCAGCTACACAACCTTTCAAAGAAGCTGGAAGCAGAAATAACAAGGTAAAAATGTTGTTCCAAGATTTTGTTCGTATGTGGATACAATAGAAGTTAGATACAGGTAAAAAAACCAGAGGCCTAAATCCACTATCCCACAACTGTTCTATGTCAATACCGAGAAGCAAGTATGTTATCTTCCCCTTCTACAGAATATTTTGTTTGTATGTTATTTCATCTGAAAAACTGCTAGTGCAGCTTCAGAGTGCCTTTAAAGCTTTTTGAAGACAGGGCAAATGAAGGAAATCATATATATATATTTGGAAGTTACAAAAATGAAATCAACAGAACTGGCACTAAAGACAGTAATGCCTAGCTTTTAAAATATTGACTTTCATAATTATTTTTCAAGTTACATTGATTACATTGATCAAGTTCCTTCTCATTTCCATGCCTCTGATTTCTTTCCTGTCAATGTTAATCCGTCAACAAATAAAAATCTAACTTTCCAAAGTTCAATTTGAATTTTGAATCAGCTGCCCTATACCCGTTCCCTACAATGTAATAGATAATGAGTTGAATGATCTAATAAATATGATCTAATAAAAGTTCTTATAAAATAAGCAAGCAATAAGCATTGGAATTTCCATGGAAAAAGGGGTCAGCTACGGGGTACATGAGGACCAAGAGTTCAGGGATCTGCAAGTAATGCAGTATCACCTGCACCTGAAACAGTAAAATCATCCTACCGTTAGCGTCGGATCTGCTCCCCAGCCCCTCCAGTTCTCTGAATTTATAGCACAAATTTGCGCTGTACGGAATTACATTTCCTATCAATCAAGGACATTTCTCAAAGCCTCAATTCCCTGGCAGCTGTGTTTTCACAATAATATCAGGGTGTGGTCTCCCTCTACTACCAGCTTTTACAAAAAGTTCTAAAGTAATCCTTAATGTAGCAACACTAGGAGCTTTGTGCAGTTCAATCCTAAAATATTTCTATAATTTATGTATTTTACACCAGGGACGCTTAAAAAACAAAGAGGTCTCTTAATCTTTACTAACAATTCGTATAATTTCTGTCTAAATGCATTTGCAAGGTAACTAACAGAAAACAGTCCTATTCAACTTGAATAAACTACGCATGTAATTTTGTTGTATTTTTTCTATACTGAAAATATTTATTTTTTTAAAGATTAATTATACTGATAATGCATACCTGCAACTGGATCCTGGGAAACAGTCCAAATAATAATGATACTTTTTTTTTTTAAATACAGGAATATCTTGTTTTGTCAAGTTAATTTAATCAGTGTAAACATATCAGGCAATTTAAAAAATACAGAGTATAGCAAATACTCCAGTGAGAGTGTGTGTTTATTATAAAAAGGAAATCCTTATTACCAGTATCTGGTACTTGTAATTCCAGATAATTCTAATACAAGCAAACATTGTTTGAGGTTTTTTTATTCAAAAGAAACAATGAGCTTAAGCACATGAAACTTTCTCTACAGTACAAATATTAGGGAGATTATGCCCTACATTGCAGTATGTCATTTCTGGCAAAACTGCAGTCAGCCACGATTAAGAATTCTACAACGTTTGATAACTGAATGATCAACTTAACGTTATTTCTCCTTAAAACCACTGACGTTTGCAAACTATTTTTCTTTATCTTCATAAGGATACAAAGAGACACACCAAAAACACTCTCTGTCAAGAAAAATTTAAAAAGACAGCAGGGCAAGATCTCATGATGGGGAAGTTTGGTCAGACTACGATGCCCGTAGTTGTCACAAAAATTCAGTCTTCAACCCATACAGCTCGCTGAACGGTTGGCTTTGCATTACAAGACACAAATATGAAAATACACAGCCACATCACACACTATTGGAAAACGAATGACACAATTGGATAAGTGTTTCTCAGAAGTACATACGACCTTCGTAAGCAAGGAGAAATTAAAAACTCACCATCACTGAGATCTTGCAGAAGGTTTTCTTGGCATGAAAAGTCCAGCTTCACTTTAATGTTTACAGTAAATGTTGCAATCTTTCCAGGTTTTAGAGGAAACTGAGAGAGGGTATCTTCTAGCTTCCAACTCAAGAAGTCCCCATACAGCTTCTCTGTATTAAAATAAGTAAATATTTCATGAGCATAACCCCTGTGTTAAGGAAGTTTAAGTTTGTAACTGTTGTAGAGACTATTAGCTGATTTGTCATTTTCTGTTTAAATTCCAAAATATTTACAATTAAGGCATTAAAAGTTAATGTAACACTAGAAATATATCAGAGATGTTACTGACATTGACCTGGAAGCATGTAGATCACAAAGCTCAAAATATGAATTTAAGTGAAGATGACCACTACCAGAAAAAAAAAAAAAAATATCCCAATAGGCAGCATTAAATATACATTTTGAATACAGCCTGAAGGGGACCTAAAAGTTCATATAGTTTTGAATTATACAGACTTCAACTCAGGCAATGTCACATGAATGCAAAAACATTTCATCAAAATCTTACACCAAAATAAATCCATTACAATTCTGAAGTACCTATAGCATTATTATTTCGTTACTTAGTGAGCAACAGAGAAGGCTAGGAAGACTACTGGCTTTCAATTTTTTATAAAATAAAGTCCTTTGTCAAAACTGAGAAGCATGAAGTATTCAAGACCCAAACATTAAGAATGCTGCCAGACCGGATTAGTTTGTGTTAAAAGATATTTGTTTCCTAAATTCCGTATGATTGGTCCATATGAGATAGGGCATCTGATCAATACATTGAGATAACTTTATCCAGTTATTCAGTCTCCTTAGTACTCCAGTAACATCACAAGATCCATCCTGAAATAAAGAGGAGCAGAGGGCTAAGTCCACTTCAGGACGAAGGGTGAGTTAGTTATGTGTTATTTCAAGCTCTGAAGTATGCCAAAAGCTATCCAAAAAGTGATATTTATGAACTCTACGCAAGACAAAATAATTTTTTTAGAATGACAGAAAAGGTTGTTACATACTAGAATGGTGCAATAACATAGAGACTTCTTCCTGAATTAATCTTTTTTCAGATACTAAATAGACACAAGAAATATCTGCTAATATCTTATTTCTTTTATGCACTTCATGAATGATCCCGGGGGGGGGG